TGGTCATTGGGAGCAGCCTCCAGCCCAGATCTGCTCTAGATCTGCCAACTCCTGCATCAGGGTGCCAGCTCCCAGGACTGCAGTGAAAGGCCCACTCCAGTCCAGCCACAGTGGGCAGGTGGGGTGCTCTGGCCCACCTGGGCTGAAGCAGCAGCCCTGACCTGCTCCATCTTTGATCAGTAACCAATTAAACACTACATTTAATTGGTTATCCAATTAAACAGGATTTTACATCCCTACTTGGTTGCTTTTACATTCACAAGAATATCTGGTCTAAGGAGAGATTGATGGTGAATTCCTAGTCATTCATGTTAAAATTCGACACTTTCCAACAAGGACTTAGTTCAAATGTTTGTTATCTCACCCATTACCAAGATAGTTTCCCCAATTATCACCTCTAATACCATTAACTCACAAACATCCCACTCTCCCTACCTCTAATATCATCAATTCACAGACACTTACCTTCCTTCCTCCCCCTCCCCCACCCCGCATCTCCCTTCTGTTCTGCAATGTGATTTGTCCTTTTCATATTTGTTCTTTTTTTTAATTGTATCCTTTGGTATATATGGTTGTGACTATTTTCTTCCACTATTTGATCTGAGGAAGTGGGTCTGGCCCACGAAAGCTCATCATCTAATAAACCATCTTGTTAGTCTTTAAAGTGCTACATTGTCCTGCATTTTATTATGGAGAAGGCATCCAGAGTTTCCATCTTGAGTTCCTCCCTGGAGGCTGATTTCATTTCTACCAGCAGCTCCCTTACTAAGTGAGACTGCTAGAGTCGTGAGATGAAACAGACCCTTTTTGGGATGCACTTAATCATTTTTGCATTCCAACAGACCCCTGGGTCGATTTGCTTCTTGTGCAAGCCCATACCACTTAGCACAACCCAGAGATGAATCTGCTCCTTTTGCTACAATGAACATTGCAATTCTGCAATAAATGTAAGTAATACCACACGTTCCTTTTATTTTGTTATAAAAACCCAGTTTTCATTCTAATGGAGTATCAAATGAACAGGTTCTACTGAATACCACAAATGGTTTGGATGGATTATCTTTACCTATACTGTAGAAAGGAACTGTAATATTGTAGGGGAGAGTTTTAAAAAGAGGTTTAAAATACAGGCATGTTGATAAACTCATTTGTGACTATTTCACCCTCCCCTCCACGCTTTATGAAATTGACTTATGGACACAAATATGCCTAACTCGAAGATGCTGTGGCCGAAATACCTCATGTAACCTACCAATCTTAATCTCACAGTATGGTGGATCTGTATAGGTTATTTTGGTATATGTATCATTCCTGTATGTAAAGTTGGAGATATGGAGTATGGAATTGTTTTATGCTTTTAAATGTGCAAATGAAAGCCATCAAGTGTGTTTCCCTCAATGTCTGGATGATCACCTGTAAACAGCCCCTTTTGTCCTTTGAATCAAGAGTTGTTGGTCTTAGGAAGTCACATAGCCACCCTAACTGGTAGGGTCTGACCAAGTAATTTTCCATGGAAGATTAGACACAAAGGATTCCAGCCTAAAAAGAAGGCTATTTAAGATGCAAAGTTTTCAGGCACTTTGTCTTTGGCTGCCACGTCATTCCCAAAAGAAGGAACCAGCGACCTCAGGTTAAAAAAAAAAAAAAAAAACTTCCCTGGCTTGGAGGCTTAGCTGAAATAAGAACAGTTTTAGGGTAAGTCTGTAATGAGTTTTTAGTGTTAGAACTAGCTATGCATTTTCCATTGTTTAACATTTGTAATTTACTTTACCTGTTTTCACTTGCAACCACTGCTTTTACTTAATAAAATCATTTTTATTTGCTATCAAGCCCAGTGTAAATAATTTTTACCTGGGGGATCAATTAATGTCCTTTCAGGGGGGCTTACCTGAATGATTTATTTGGGGTTCTGATCCCATTTGGGAGTGGGTTCCCTGGAAACTGTAGCCCAAACTGCAGTTTTCTTGGACCTGAGGTGATTCAGTGTCTGCATTGCTCTTCGGGGGAGAGAGATGGTGATCTCAGCTCTCTGCTTTCGCTGGGAGAGACCAGGAGATCTGGACCAACAGAACAGTTTGATGAGAAGCCTATAGGCCAGGGAATGCTGAGCTTTTGGTGTCTACATAGTCGCAGCTTTCAACAGCCCATGGCTGAAAGCCCCATAGATTTTGTTCCAAAATGTCTCCAAATCAACTGTCTTGATGAGGGCAATTGCTGGAAGGTACAGATCGCGTGAAAAGTTTCTTCTCAGATCTAACGAAGGAATAGGTTTTTCTGAATGTTACCCAAGCAACTCCTGTACATGAAGAGATTTGTGGTAATCTCCAGACTGTGAGACAAGTTTTTAATGCATTTCTGAGGCAATATAAGGATTTGTGCGAAGAAGTATCCCACAAGGAAAACTCAGCCTTGGTAATTTGACTCCCTAGGCTTGTGGAAGCTGCTGTGGAAGAAGCCCCTAACAGATGCCTTGGAGGTACACACAGTCAGGGAGCAATAACCATAACTTCATCCTCCTCTTCATCCTCACTGGGGAAGCCATTACATACGCCTCTCTCCCCTGCCACAGGAGGTTGCAAACCAGGACCTGCTTAGGCAGGTCATCTCCAACCTGGTACTACACACAGAGGAGCTAGCAGACAACCTCTTCTGTGTGCTCACTGCCTCGGCCCCAGAACATGTTGCCCTACTGCTGCACAAAGGGATCTTGGAGTGTGTCTGCATTGCTCTTCTAATTCGAACTAACTTAATTCAAATTAGTTAATTCGAACTAAGCTAATTCGAATTAGTGCATCTAGACCTAAAAACTAATTCGAATTAGCATTTGCTAATTCGAACTAGCATGTCCACATTGAATGGACCCTGAACCGAAGTTAAGGCTGGCCGGAACCAGTGCCAGCAGGGCATCAGGTTAGGACTTAGCGGCTGTGTCTAGACTGCATCCTTTTTTCACAAAAGGGATGCAAATTAGACACATCGCAATTGCAAATGAAGCGGGGATCTAAATCCCCTCCGCTTCATTTGCATAAACATGGCTGCCGCTTTTTTCCGGCTCGGAGCTTTGCCGGAAAAAAGCGCCAGTCTAGACGCGGATCTTTCGGAAAATAAAGCCTTTTCCAAAAGATCCCTTATTTCTCTTAAAATAAGGAATAAGGGATCTTTCGGAAAAGTTTTTTGGAAAAAGACTTTTGCCCGAACGGGAGCAGCATAGTATTTCCACAAAAGCACTGACAATCTTACATGAGATCGTCAGTGCTTTTGGGGAAATTCAAGTGGCCAGTGTAGACAGCTGGCAAGTTTTTCCGCAAAAGCAGATGATTTTGTGGAAAAACTTGCCAGTCTAGACACAGCCCAGATGTATAGGGCACCCAAAACTGTGGCACACCACTGAGTCATAATGCCCACCCACCTGCATCCTCCTCTACCTGTTCTGTGGCTCTGTTTCCTCCAGAGATGATCTTGTTAACTTAAAACTGAAAAAGCCTGCCAGAACTATTTGCAATACATTGAACCCCTGAAAGATCTGTTCAAGTGGTAATGAAGCCATTTAACAGGTATTTTCCAATCTCAATATATACTGTCAGTTTCTGACTTTAGTGTGTGAGTCTACAGGATCTTAATTTAATATTTATTTTTAAAATGTCATTAGTATGTTGCTGGAGATCATAAAAATCACATCTCAAAATTGTGTCATCCCCCCTCCCCACCCAGGCTGCCATTGGCCATAGGGGCACCAGTTTACTAGTATTGCAAATGGCCCCATAAATCCTAAGGATGGCCCTGCCCTTCCTGGCCCTTATTTCTAAGGCTGTTGAGAGAAAATACTTTGTACCAGTGAATATCTCTGGCATGAATATCTCTATTCCCATCTGGATCCTAGTTCCCTTGTAGTAGAGGCCAACTACAAGGAGAGAATAGGGTAACTGAAAAATAAAGACTCAAAATAGCTGGATTTATTTGGTCATAATGTTTATTCTTTGGCTAACCTTCAATTGTGGGTGGTTAATCACCAGGACCTCCTTGACCACTATCAACTTAACGTGTGGCCGACCACAGACAAATTTGCTTCCTGAATCCTCGAGGAAGGAGTACAGAGCACTCATTGAGGAAGGTGTAGTGGAAGCCAGGGCAGCCTTCCAGGGATACAACATGGATACAACATGCAGGACAATGTAGCACTTTAAAGACTAACAAGATGGTTTATTAGATGATGAGCTTTCGTGGGCCAGACCCACTTCCTCAGATCAAATAGTGGAAGAAAATAGTCACAACCATATATACCAAAGGATACAATTAAAAAACTGAACACATATGAAAAGGACAAATCACATTTCAGAACAGGAGGGGGATGCAGTGGGGGGGGGGGGTAGGAAGGAAGGTAAGTGTCTGTGAATTGATGATATTAGAGGTGGGGAGAGTGGGATGTCTGTGAGCTAATGGTATTAGAGGTGATAATTGGGGAAGCTATCTTGGTAATGGGTAAGATAGTTTGCGTATTTGTTCATTCCTTCCCGGAGAGTGTCGAATTTTAACATGAATGACAGTTCAGAGGATTCCCTTTCAAGTGCAGATGTAAAAGGTCTTTGTAGCAGAATGCAGGTGATTAAGTCATTGAGAGAGTGTCCTTTCTGGTTAAAATGGCAAGAAACTGGTTTTTCTTTGTGATCTTGTCTGATATCTGTTTTGTGGGCATTAATCCTTTGGCGAAGTGTCTGAGATGTTTGTCCAATGTACATAGCAGACAGACACTTTCGGCACATGATAGCATAGATTATATTTCTGGATGCGCAGGAATATGTGTTCTTGATCTTATAACTCACTTGGTTAGGTCCAATAATGGTATCAGCAGAATGAATATGTGGACAAAGCTGGCAACGGGGTTTGTTGCAAGGGAAGGTACCAGGGTACAGAGCACTCATTGAGGAAGGGGCAGTGGAAGCCCGGTACCAGGGTACCTTCCCTTGTAACAAACCCCGTTCGCCATCGGGAAGGTATGCGGGTTCAGCTCACACACGGTGGGGCTCAGTGCTCGCCCGCCTCCCGGCCGGGCTGCCAACCACAGCGCCCCCTAGGACACTGGCAGCATCTAGCTGAGCACACTGCGCCTGCCTATATGCCAGCCCCGGCCCTGTTGCCTCTCCCCGCCAGCTGCCGCTCCATATGTTACAAACATGTCATGTACAATATCATTCCTAGATGCTCCTCTATAACCCTTGATAGGGAGCTGAATGTTTTTCTCATATATTTTTCTTCCTGCACCTCACCTATGCAATTTGTTACCAAAAATAAGAAAACAAAAACACGTACAATTAATTTTACATCTCAAGAAAATATTGTCAATGTGGTTGATAGCTTCATTGTTTCTAATTTTTTCTATAATTGAAAAAAAATATCTAAAAGTACAAAGGCCTATATCCTTAAAGGCATTTAAGCACCTAACTTCCTTTTAAAATTCCTGATTAATAAACTTGTATCTTTTCTGTAGATCATGAACTTATTCTACCCATGATGAATTAAGATACATTATTATTATCCTACACATGATGCATTAAGATACATCCTGGGATGAAGACTCTATGAATGAGTTTGACAGAGCTTTATAATAGATTCCATATGCAATGCTTGTGAACTGACTTGTGTAAAGATGAAATTTATTTAAGTCCTATTTGTCTCCTACATCCAACTTTCCTGCGTATTACAAAATGAGTTGAATGTGACAGCTCATCCTTTCTAGGCAGGTTAGCGTTGAGTCACTAGAATTCCTGGAAATAACCAGCCAAATCTTGAAGTTCTAACGCAGCTGAATTCTTCTGAATGTCAATTTTTGCTGGAGATAATTTGTTACAATTGTGTAACGCAAGACCACAGTTTGCACTGTTCCCAATGATAGGAATGCTAACTGAGTAAGGCCTGAGTGACACTGGAGAAAGGACTTCAAAGATCTGGGCCTAGCATGAGGCCATCAGAATGGTGGAAGTGGTCTTCTTGCACCAATTCTCTTACCCTTTAGGTCAGACACAGTTTGCTGAACAGCCTTATTTTCAAGATCAATTTTATTCAGTCTTTTGGATTCAAACATCCTTTCAGCCTCTAATGCTATGAAGAGAGAGACAGAGAGAGAGAAATGCATTAAAATCTCCTTAAGGGACAATTTATATTTAATATAAACCCCAATTGTGGGTTCTCACAGGTAAAATAGAATAGTGATAGAAATGTAGCCGTGTTAGTCTGGTGTAGCTGAAACAAAATACAGGACTATATAGCACTTTAAAGACTAACAAGATGGTTTATTAGGTGATGAGCTTTCGTGGGCCAGACCCACTTCCTCAGATCAAATTGTGGAAGAAAATTGGCACGACCATATATACCAAAGGCTACAATTAAAAAAATGAACACATATGAAAAGGACAAATCAAATTTCAGAACAGAAGGGGGATGGGGCGGGAAGGTAAATGTCTGTGAGCTAATGACATTTACCTTCCCGCCCCATCCCCCTTCTGTTCTGAAATTTGATTTGTCCTTTTCATATGTGTTCATTTTTTTAATTGTAGCCTTTGGTATATATGGTCGTGCCAATTTTCTTCCACAATTTGATCTGAGGAAGTGGGTCTGGCCCACGAAAGCTCATCATCTAATAAACCATCTTGTTAATCTTTAAAGTGTTACATAGTCCTGTTTTTTGTAAAATAGAATGTTATTCCTATTCATGTTATTGTCTTTTTTATCCATCTGAATATTTTTAAGCAGCTCTCTTGAGAATTTTAATTACAAGTAGAAGCAATGATTAGTTATTAAAAAATAGGCATATACATGGGGTAACCATATCCATATTTCAAACTCTCCCTCTGAAATTAGTTTGTCTGGGTTTTTTTTGGATAGTCATATTTCTAAAACTATTTTTAGAAGGTTTAACTAACAAAATTGTGATTATTCAGATTAGCTTTGTACAGCTCCCAATCAAACCTTTTTAATTAAAATAAAAATATTATAATTTAAATTATTATCCCTGTAGTTGCTCTCTCTCCAGTATCTTAGAATGTCAGATAGCATGACCTGGGACTTAGAAGACCTGACTCTAATTCTGACTCTGCCACTGGATTGCTGGATAATCCTTGGCAAATCAAACCCCCTCCCTATGTCTCAGTTTCCCAGTCTGTGAAATTAAGAGAATTCTGTTGGCTTTGTAAAGTCTTTTGAGATCTATGATGGATAGGAGGAGTGCTGTCCTTTTCTGAACATCCCAACATTCAGTAACCAAAGGGCTAAACCCAGGTAGTTATAAAATGTTGCAGGAAGCCAGGAGAACTAATGAGAAGAAAGTATTGAGATTTGAACTGAAAGGGGTACCTGCCTACTGTTTTTCTTTGTGTGAGTTTAAGGCAGGGGTGGGGGAAACAAGATGGCCGTGTCTAGACTGGCAAGTTTTTCCACAAAATCATCTGCTTTTGCAGAAAAACTTGCCAGCTGTCTACACTGACTGGTTGAATTTCCGGAAAAGCACTGACGATCTCATGTAAGATCGTCAGTGCTTTTCCGGAAATACTATGCTGCTCCCGTTCGGGCAAAAGTCTTTTTCCGACAGACTTTTGCGCAAAAGGGCCAGTGTAGACAGCACAGTACTGTTTTCTGCAAAAAAGCCCCGATCGCGAAAATGGAAAAGCATCCTGCCAATCTAGACGTTAAAAGCATTTTCGGAAAATCATGCCAGTGAAACAAGCAGGACAAAGAATACTAGGCATGGAAATGGACTGGACCTGGAAGCACATATATGTGAGCAGATAGGGAACGTCTATTTACAGGGCTTGCTGAGCAGTGGCGAGCCCCGCTCGCCAGCCACACGGTTCTGCGCTCTGCACGCCTGGATGCCCAAGCACCAGGGCTGGAGCTTGGGTGTATTGTGGCCATTCCACCAAGAGTGAGCTGTAAGTTCTGGCTCAGGCCCACTCGGGTATGGTGGCAGGCTGCATCCAGAGTCCCGCACCCAGCTGGCCAGTGTCTTACCACTGCACCCCCACCAGGGCACACCAACTTACTTACCCCTTTGCAACTATAATACTTGGAAAGATACTGGGATGAATTATTAAACAATCTGTTTGCAAACATAGGGGATGATAGGGTAATAAGAAAGAGCCACTGTGGATTTGTCAAGACCAAGTCATGCCAGACCAACCTAATATCCTTCTTTGACAGAGTTACTAGCTAGTGGATGGGGGAGAGAGCAGTAGATGTGATATCTCTTGATTTTAGTTAGGTTTTTTAAACCGTCTCTCAGGGCATACGAATTAGGAAAATGTGATCTAGATGAAATTACTGTAAAGTGGTTGCATACCTGGCTGAAAGACCATTCTCGAATAGTAATCAATGGTTCACTGTCAATATGGGAGGGCGTATCTAGTGAGGTTTCATTTAGTGACTGGGATGATAGAATTTATAAAATTTGCAAGTGACATTTTGCTGGGAAGGACTGCAAGTACTTTGAAGGGCAGGATCAGAATTCAAAAGAACGTTGGCAAGTTGGAGAATTGTCTATGGCCCAGGTGACATCGGTTTTCTAAAAGGGAGCAGGGCCAGTGCACCTGTGCTTGATCAGCTGATCACAACTGGGTTCTGGAGGGTGCACAGCTGGGTGCCTCTGGCCTAGTCAGTTAGGAAAGGGGCTAGAGGAGACCTGGGGAGCTCATTGCTGGCTCCCTGGGAATAGGAACACAGGCCAGAAGCAGGAAGCTCTGTGAGATGGGAGGCGGTAGGAACCTGCTGGAAGAGGCACAACCAGGGAGCTGCAAGAAGCAGGGAGTTCCAAAGAGATCCCTGGGAGGGGAGACGGTGGAAACGTGCTGGGGAATAACAGGGCCTGCAAGAAGAAAGCCCTGGGTGGGGTGCTCAGGGAAGGGTACCTGGAAGATTCCTGCAGAAAGCACTGAAAGGCGAAGGAGAAAAAACCCGGAAAGCTGTAACTTAGCTCGAGCTGAGAAACTCTTTGTTTGTTTTGTGTTTGCCCGGCACCTGGAAAAATAAAGTCCCCGAGAAGAGACTCGGTGGGGGTCAGTGAGGTATCTGGGAGCAGGGCAGCTTGTTACAGCCTGAAATCAGCACGATGAAATCCTGTAAAGCAAGTGCGAAGTACTGCGCGTAGGAAGCAAACCCCAAATGCACAGCTCAGAGCGAGGGCTCGCTGGCTAAGCAGCCTTACTGCTGGGAATGGGCGGGGGGTTATGGCAGACCACAGATAGCGGAACAACTTGAGCGCCGAATGGGCTCTTGCATCAACCCCAGAGATACTGATCAACACCACAGAAACGTCACATTCCAAAATGGCCCTTGAGTTAGTACAAAGGCCCTACCTGATCACATGACAGGAGCGGTGGAAGCACCGTAAAAGTGGAGGGCGAGTAGATTACACTATTTGTCGAGCCCTGTCTATTTAGATGTGATCAGGTTATTTTCTTTGTTTTGTGGTTTGATTAAATGTCTCTGTGCTAAGTCCATGTGCCCCCCATACACTAAAACTTTAAGCTGTAGCCCAGGGATGAAATTCTCTGTGTTTTATTTTGTTCTTTTCTTAATTGCTTTAAAATACCTAATAACCAAGTATATATTTTCGTTTGGTTAATAAAATCACTTTTTTTACAAGGCTATGATTTGACTCTTGTGTCCGGGAAGGTAATAGGAGGTCTATGTATGCATGCCTAAAACTGAGAGATCAGATTATATTTTTCTTTCTTTCTTTAGCTCTCTTGTGGTAAAAGAGCTTGGGGTACCCCTCTCAAAGAAGTTCCAAGTGCTTTCTTTCTGGATTCAAGAAGAAAGGGTTTATTTATTTGTTTTTTTTACTTGGTGGTGGCATCCTGTCTCCCAGGATCAGGGAATCTGTGACCTAGGGAGTTTTTTTAAAAGCAGAAGCCTACAGAGGCAAAGTACTTTAAGGTCTCTTGGGGGCCCCCACCCCTACACTCCAAGTGCCAGAGTAGGAAACAGCCTTGACAAGATCTATTGATGAAAATCACCATAAAAGAGGTAGGTGGTGTTATTTAGTACTTTTACCTTCAAAGCACTTTACAAATATTAACTAAGTATTTCCCAACCCAAACCTCTATAAACCAGGTTAGTATTATCCTCATTTTACAGATATTAATGACTTGCTCAAGATCATAAAGGCAGTCAATGGCAAGAGACCATTATAATTGGAAATCCAAATCAAGATTGGAATATACGTCAGAACAGTGGTTATAGTAAAATCTTTCAACCTTAAAAGAAGTTAACAGTTTGGCCAAGTGTAAATCAGGATCTCAAACAATTTACTGTTGAATGGAGGTGCACTGAATATTTTAAGACAAATGCTGACTTTGAGGAGAAAGAATCATTATACATGACACAAGATGCATATTATTAAACAACCGTACAATGTTGTGGTGAATGGGGTAACAGCCACTAGGGCTATGCCTACACAGAAGTGTTATTTCAGAATAACTAACATTATTCCAAAATAAGATAGTCTGCGTCTACACAGCAAGCAGTTATTTCAACATAATGTCGAAATAATGGCGAGCCAGAGGACTTCTCACTCAAGACTCCTGTAACCCTTGTTTTATGAGTAAAGGAAGTTGGAAGAAGAGTGTACTTTCTTGGACTTCCTGCTGTGTAGACAGTGCCAAAAGCCAAAATAAACTATTTTGACTTAAGCTATGCAATTGATGTAGCTCAAGTTGTATAGCTTATTTCAACGTAGACATGCCCTAGAATTCATATTTTATACTCTGTCATATGTAATAGCTTTTTCTTCATGATTTTCTGATCAGGGTTCAGACTACTTGCTTCCTTTGTTATGAACATAGAAGAGAATCTAAGAGCATAAAATTTAGTTTAAATTCTAAGTACGGAATTTAGCTGGTTTTGCTGAATTGCAGTCCCGATTCCCACTCAAAATGACACGCTGAATTTTTAAAAGAAGACCAGAAATCTTACTCTGTACTGAAGGGCTCAGCCTTCTTTCAAGTGTGATAGTTGGCTTCAGTGTTAAAGCATGACCGCAAGGGATGTCTTGAAGGAGAGACAGATTTGTCTGTCCCATTTCCTGGCACAAATGCCTTGTCAACAAAGCAAGCTCTGCAGTATCCACCCTGTGACAGCAAAAACATAATGAATGAGTCATTTGTACTAAGGGTATAAATACTCATTTTAAAAGTTTACTGCTTAAACAATATAATTGTAATTGTTTAACCATGGCTGGCTGGTATCCCACGGCGGGGCTGCTCTAGAGAGGGGACCCCTATGGCCAAGTTCTGGCCAACCAGCCTGCCAAGGGCATCTGGCTCCTCCTACCTGGCCATATGTGGGTGGGGCTGCTCCAGCACAGCTGGGCCTGCTGCCTCAGTTGCTGCAGCCAGGGACAGCTGGGCCCACTGCCTTGCAGCCATGGGGCTACTCTGGCTGACCTGCTGCAGCTGGGGTTCTGCCAGTTGGAAAACCAAGGGTGGGGGGGCTGCACCCACTGGATCTGTCTCTCTGGTTAACCGGTTACCAAGTGAGCATGCCAGTAAGGCTAATTAACCAGTTAAACTTTTACATCCTTAGTTTATACAGTAATGAAAACATAAAATCCACATCAGGACACAAATGCAATGTTTTTTATAATTATGCTATCAATTTCAAATGTTACATGTTTGTCTATATAGACATATTTTGGCCACCATCTGTATTCCTGTTTAAAAATAAAAGCATATTGAGAAAGGCAAGAAGAAATAATAAAAGATTGAAAGGTTTTAAATTTGGTGTTATCAGTTGCTCTATCAGTCAGTCTCTTTCCTCATGCACACCATGTTTAATAGAAAAACACAGAGCGTCAGACACAATTTAGTTCTTATTATGACAGTAAAATCAAATTCCTGACAACAATTTAGCCCTGTTTTGTTCCTTCACTGAACAGTTAGAAGATGAATAATTGGTGTCTAAAGTTACTCTTTTTTGGCCCCCAGGAGCAGGGTCCTATTAAAATATTTGATATCATGCGTTGGTTTGTTTCAAAAAGAATAGCATAGCCCATTTTACAACTGGGGATCCTCATATTCAGCCTAAGTTTCCATCAGTTAGAGGAGACAGGATTCGGGGGATAGGAATCATTTGTTTGCAGAACAGCCCACCCATATGGAAGAGCTCTCTACTTGTTCCCATGTTGTAGGGCTTAGGAGGCCAGGTATGTCTGTCTATCTCTGGTTCTTTGAAGGCTTTCTATATTGTAGTATATGAGCACCCCACAATTTTTTAATGTATTTTCAGAACATCCTTTGAGAAGGATATACAAATTTTACAGTTTGGAGAACTGGGGCCCAAATGACTAAATGACTTGCCCACGTCTGCACAGGAGGTCTATAGGGGTGTGTCTAGACTACAGGATTTTGTCGACCAAAGTGGACAGAACGTCGACAGAACTCAGCATTTTTGTCGACGCTGGTAAACCTAATTTTACGAGGCATAACGCCTTCTGTCGACAGAGTTTCTGTCCTTTCTGTATACTGTCCTTTGCGTCTACACTACCATGTCGACAAAGCAGCTTGCTTTGTCGACAGAACTCAATGTAGTCTAGATGCTCTTTGTCGACAGAAGTCTGTAGTCTAGACGTACCCTAGGAGAACTGAAACAAACCTGTATCCTTCCAAGTCAGACTAATACCCCAACCCCAAGGCCATCCTTCCTTTATGGTCAGGATTAAATTGAGAAAGGTGTACACATCCACACACAGATCCACCTGCTTCTGTGCAGAGTATGGGAAGTGGCTTTAGCAGCTTTCACATTTAATCCCATTTCAGGCAGGTGAAGAAGGCTCAGTCCAGCTACTTCTTGGGGTCTGCTGCAGGGCCCGTTAGGATAAGACTGAAGTCTTATAAATGTAAATAATTTGTTAGCAAGAAAAACTATGAAAACATGTAAAGGCAAGAACATTTAAATGGTGGGATTCATTTTCATTTCTTCCCTGGTAGGAAAGCCTTTCTCTAAAATTAACTATAAGTAACAGGGAAGCAATCCTATAAACAAGGGTTAGAAATGAAATTTTAAGGATGAAGACTCAGGACAAGAAATGCAAGATTGAAGTTCAAAGCACAGCCTCAACTCTGGTCTCTGGTATTTATATTTATGCCTCTTCTTTTATGCATTATATATTTTTCTATCTATATAAAAGCTGGAATTTCTTAGATCCCCTTGCCTGAAGTAAGTTACAATACAGAAATACCTATTTCTTCCCACTTGGCTTGAATTTTAAGTCCAAAAGAAGGTTATTTTGGTGTACATGACTGTGTGTTTGGACTAAGGAATCCAGTATCCAGTCAGCCAGCACTTGGTTTTGTGGGCAGAGGACTCTGTTTCCCAATAGCAGCAATCTGACACTTAAATGCTTAATCCAATTAAGATTAAAGAACTACTAACAGGCAGGACTGGATATTACACTGGGGGAGTCAGGTAAACTGAGATCTAGTTCTAGAAAAACGTAAACAACGAATAGTCTAGTAGCCCCTTAAAGACTAACAAAAGATGTAGATGGCTACTAGACTATTCATTGTTTGTTAAGATTTTCTAGTTACAGACTGACTCAGCTAACCCTGAAGATCTAGTTTTAGTTCTGTCAGGCCTACCCTATGATACAAAGCACAGGCCCCGTATGCAGGAATTTCTGTGTGGGGTGTGCAAACTATGGGAGGAGCAGCTTGCTGTCCTGCCACCATGGCCCAGGGCACCACGCCCTGGCCTTGCTCCTGGGGGAGGGGGAGAAAAATCAGCCCCAGCCTTCCCCCAGCCAGCTGGAGCAAGGGGGAGGGAGGCTGCAGCAACAGGCTGCCCCAGCCTCAGGCTTACTTGAAGGACCAGGGAGGGAGGGGAAACGGGTGCTTTTGCACCCTTCGCACACACACTCCTGCATACGGGCATGAAACTCTTGGCATGAAATTCTTAGCTAGGGCTGCAGGTTTAAAAATAGTAGTATAGGCATTGGAGCTATCCACTGCAGCTGCGCCATGGGTCATTTACTGCAGTGGAAAGGTAGCCTGTGTAACTGCAGGCAAAACATTTCCCCTCTCTGTGCCTTAGATCCCCTCTCCTACCTTTGTCTGTCGGTAAACTCTTCAGAGCAAGGAATGTCCCATTCCCATTTCTTAATTAATATTATATTATTGTTATTAATTAACAAACTATAGTTGTATAAAAATAATGCTCGCTGTTGTGATGTATTGACTATGGGATGTACTAACCAGGACTTACACTTTATAACAGCTTGCTTCTAAGACAGATTTTACTGTCCTCTTTCTGTGAAAATCAAATTCCATAGTAGATCATTGGATGCAGATCACTTACACAGACTTGTCAGAAATAAAAGCAACTGTCCTCCGGTGCTCCCTCTTCACCTGTAACATAAAAGAGACTGATAGTCAGGAAAACCCATTTCATCTGGACGTTTACTTGGAGTACATTAAGTGGAAAAATTAAAAGCAAAACAAATGGAAAAATCTGTTTCATGAATAAACAGAGTTGCATTTGTCAGTCAGCCTGCATGTTTGGGATTATTTGATTCTGAAGAGATCAAACAGAGAAGAATGAATGAAGACTCCAATTCCTGTTTCAATTTTACTCTTACATTTTCTGTGCGCATAAAGCAAAACTTGCCATTTGAACCTGACCCAAAGCCAACTGAAGTCAATGGGCATCCATTTCATTGGCTTCAATGAGTTTTTGGATCAGGCCCTTTTAGTCTAGCTTATTTTACATTAAAGAAAACAGAAAAAAACCCTAAATATAAACAATTCTCTACGAGAGCGAATAGGAAGTGTCTCTGCTACCCTAGGATCCTGTAGCTTGACTTGACTCACTACCCTGCACTCTCAAAGGTCAGCAGAGCTGGTTGAAAAATTAAAACAAAAAACAAGTCATGAAATATTTTAAAATATTGGTTGATTTCATTTTGTAGGGCTTGAAATTGACTTATTTTTCATGTTTTTAAGTATCCCCCAGTGTTGATGATATCAAAAGTGTTTCTTTTCTTAAAAAAAGTTTTTTGATCAAATAAGGGTTTTAGTTAAATAAATTCAACCTGCTCTACAGGTTATGCAAATTTCTGACCCTTAAAGAGGCAGAATACCAAAAATAGAATTGTAGCTGCATACCTGGGGGTGAGAAGGATATTTAGCAGCCATACCTCCACCAACCAATCTTAGTCTCAATTCTGAGCTTTACTCCTACAGAATGATTTAAATCAACTCGTCATGTGACTGTATTAAGGATTAATCAGAGTTATAATACACTAAATCCAAATTATAGAGTAAACTTGCATCAGAAGCTTGAGGATGGAAGAACTCTGTAAATCACAAAGCCAATGACCCCTTAACCTACTTATTTCAACATCCTCAAAGCTATCCTATAAGAATTTTTAGAAAAGATGTAAATAGTTAATAAAAATAAGACTGCGCTACAGTGCTGCAACTAACTGCTTTTGAACTTCCCACTGAGTAAAATGCTAATGTAGGCAATGCATCCCTCTTAGTTTAGGCAGAAGATGCATTTCACTCCAAGCCTGAGGGAAATGAAAGGCAACCCCAGGTGGGCACACACACACACACACACACACACTCATTCCTGACACATCCTTTGCTGATGTAATAATGGGCTTTGTGGAGCATTATCACCAGGTATCACTCTGATAAATATACAAGGAGATGCAGTCACTGACTGTGACCAGTTTGAATGGCTGCTTCTAGTACCTCCAGATGCTGCAACCAGAATGAAGGGAGAAAAATGGAAGCAGCATCTCCTGTGGTCAAGCTCTCAAAGAAACAAAAAGAGAACAAAAGCCAAATATATTCTGTCATCTTGGTCTTTCTTTACTAATGATTTTCTGGGTCTTGCCTGGGACTCAGGAACACAGACTTTACCTTGTTTTAAAACAGAATAGCTAGCCCAGAACAGAAAGTTTATATTAAATATTACAGACAAAAGTTTTCAAAGCCAGACAGTATCAATCTGATATTTGCATGCAGATGACATCAGAAACATGTTGCCTGTACAGCAACAGAAGTCTGCTAGGCTACATCTACACTACAAGTTTTCTCGGCAAAAAATAAGCAATTAAACTAGATACTAAATATGAGAGGTCCAAAGTTAGCCATAAAAGCATGTGTTTCCAAAACCTTCTGCTGACAATATCTAGTCTAAGGAGTTTATATACCCACCCATCACCACAGTATCTGAGCGCTGTCTCGATAAAATCAATAGCAATTTCAAAATCCATAGGGCTACATCTACACTATGAGTTTTCTCAGCAAAAAATATGCTAATGAGGGACTCATTTGCATGAGTCATGATCTTGTTTGCATATTTTCTGCCAATCCATTTTTTTCGCTAGGGTTTTTGCACAAAAACAAGCAGTGTGGACATTTCCTTTTTGTGCAAAAACCCCTTTTTCCACAAGATCAGTAAACCTTTTTTGGGGCATAAAAACAGTGCACACAGCCCCCTACAGGGAGTGCACAAGGTCCCCGAGAGGCCCACAGACCCAGAAGCTGCACATGGCTGATCCTTAAAGGAGAGAGGGATGCAGACAGGGGTAGACCATCAAGGGGAGCCTCCCAGCGAACATGCTCTGCTCGGATTGCCTGGCTAGTGGACCAGCTCAGGAGTCAACGTGGGAAGATTAGATAACAGGAACTGCCTTCTGCTTGCCTTATCATCCTGCCTGGGACTGTAAGGCTATGTCTAGACTGCATCCCTCTGTGGACAAAGGGATGCAAATCAAGTACTTTGAAAGTGCAAATGAAACTGGCATTTTAAATATCCCTCACTAGCATAAACACGGCCGCTGCTTTTTTCTTTAAACAGAGCTTTTTCAGAAAAAAAAAGGCAGTCTAGACACGATCTTTCAAAAATACAACTCTTTTTCGAAAGATCCCCTCGCCTTAGTGTTCAAAGCAGTTGCGATCCACATCCCCTTGCAACATTTTTGGTGGAGATGCTGGGGAGGAAGGAATAAGTAAACAGGTATTAAGTCCTTATCCCATGGGAAGTTGAGACCGTGAACTTTAGGGGACTGGGGTGCGTTGAAGTGTGGTAGGCTAGCAACCCACGGCACACGGTCCAGGTTCCCACGAACAAGATGCCCATTTGGGGTAAAAGAAAGGGAGGTGTAAAGGACTCCCAGAAGGGAGGAGAAGGGTGGAGTGAAGCACCTATGCCCGGACCCCTGAGGGAATGGATCCAATGTAAAGGGGCTGACCACTAAACTCAAGGGACGGTGCTCTCGGGTGCTTCAGTGACTGATTTGGAACTAATGATGGAGAAACACGTGTTACTGTATAAGCCAGACAAGGGAGGCTAAAGAGAGCAGCTGCCTGGCTGCTGTGGCAGGCAGCTAAGAGTCAGCTAGCACATGATGTGGAGCAGTTGAAGGAACAGAAGGAGGAACTGGAGAAAGAACAGGATATGTGGAAAGCTCAGGCTCTTCTCTTTCCGTTGCCACCATACAAGTGGCAGCTGCAGAAGAGGAACGGAAGCACATTCAGGAGGAGAATAGAACTTTAAGTGAAAGGGTGCAGTGTCTCAAGGAGTTAGGAGAGAGTCGGCCAGAGGGAAGGCTGCTTTCAAAGGAAAGAGTAGCTGCTGTAGGGCTTCCCAAGAGAAGTCGACACACAGAATGGGGTGAAGATTGGGATGGGGATATTTGGGGTGATCTGGATCACCCAGATCTAGATCCTGTAGGGCCAGATCTCAGACATTGGGTTGCAGCAGTCCAGAGGATAGAACGGACTTATGGGCCCACCCCCCCAAGAGGGAGGAGAGGCCCCAAATATTGGACATACGGTGGTGGAGTTGGCCAGAACCTTGGGAGGACTCTCTCGTTCTGGTTTCAGTGGATGGGCCCAAGATTTGGTGGCCTTGGGCCTGGATCAGAGCCTAAATATGACCAAGGCTTGGCAGGTACTAAAGGCTGCATCCAGATTGGGAGGGGACTTAGCAGGGGAAGCCCAACAGGAAGCTTTTGATACTACACACAAAGATATATTTGAGATGCTGATGGGGATGACATCAGCTGTGGGACCACGAGCGTTGCTGGCGGATCTGGTTTCAGTAGCTGTCGCACCAGGCGAAGAACCCGCTAGATTTGTGGAAATGATGGTTCTCCTGGCATGTCTGTGTGGTCAGGGCATGCCTGTTGCAGCAAAGAGTGGTACCCCCATGTCCACAGCCCAAATAGCCTTACCTGTGGATGAATTAAGGCTAATCACGCAGGGTCTCCCAGGCTGTGTCTAGACTACATGCCTCTGTCATCAGAGGCATGTAGATTAGACACATAGGCAAAGTCAAATGAAGCCGCGATTTAAATGATTGTGGCTTCATTTAAATTTACATGGCTGCCGCGCTGAGCCGACAAACAGCTAATCGGCTGTTTGTCCGCTCAGCGCGCTAGTCTGGACGCTCCCCTGCTGACATCAAAGCCCTCTGTCGGCAGCCCCGGTAAACCTCATCCCACGAGGAATAACGGGGCTGCCGACAAAGGGCTTTGATGTCGGCAGGGGAGCGTCCAGA